GCTCCTGCGCTCAGGGGGGCAACGCGCTGTGTCAGAGCATAGGTACTGACACGCGATCGTTCATGTCGGTTCATTTCCTTTAATGTTTTCTGTCTTTTATTTGCGCCTGATGTGTTTCGCTGCTGTGGAGCGGGGCACATCACCTTGTCCTCCGACGCACAGATCACTGATGCGGCCGCCAAGCAGGGAGAGCTCCGCTGTTTTTGAGGTCGGTAGATCTGCCTCCTGAGCACGGCCACAATCAGGTGTCGCCACCTCAAAAACTAATTTAACACACGATCGTTCATGTCAGTTCATTTCCTTTAATGTTTTCTGTCTTTTATCTGCGCCTGATGCGTTTTGCTGCATGCTGTGGAGCGGGGCGCTGTGCGCATCACCTTGTCCTCCGACGCAAATTCCACTACCTCCGCTCTGCTCCGCTCCGACACAAACGCCGGAGCAAAATCGGTCCCGTTGCAGTCAGTCAGAGCAATTCTACTACTGCGGCCATGCTCCGGCAGTGCGGCGCCGTGCGCCGCCCTCTGTTCCGGCGTCCAGCAAAAATAGAATCGATCCTATTTTCGCCGGAGCACCTCCGCAGTCAATGGACAGAAATCACAACTGCCCAACAGGAAAAGGAGCAAGCACAACTTCCTTTTTTCACAATAAATCAATAAACAAAAGGCGTTTTTTGTTTCATATGCACAGGTTTAGCAACTTTTAACAACTATCAATGGCGGCTGAACTTTAAATGCAAAAAAATAAGCCATAAATACAGTTTCTACTGTCAAAGTAGTCGCCCTTTGTTGATCCAAACACTGCTGATCTCTCAACACAAATGATGGGCAGATTAAACAGTTCATTTCGATGCTTCTCCCACACAACGGGTGTTTGGATGTAACTTCCGCGTTTATTGCTCGGACTGTATGATACGGCCGCCAAGCAGGGAGCGCTCCACTGTTTTTGTGGTCGGTAGATCTTTTAGAACTGCAGTTCAAAGGTAACTCATGAGGTGAATATATATGAACCCAGGTAGCAGTTTTTCTTTAGGATTGAGAGGAGATGCAGGAAGATAATAAACAGGCAGGACAGAAAAATAGTCAAATAAAAACAAGTTAGTTTTTGTACCTGGTGGTTGCAACAAACAGACACCATTGAAGGTGAAGTGAGGACCAGAAAATGAAATAATTATTTTAATGTTTAGAGCAGCAGGAACTCCGAGAGGCTGCAGGCGCATCATTGAGTTTGCGGCCGCTGCGTAGGAGGAGGGGGGAGATGGCTGAAGCAGGGGGAGGGGGGAGAGGGCTGAAGCAGAAACTACCGTCGTTAAAAGAAATGTGTTTAACTTTGAAAATGTGGGCGCAATTTTAATTGTCAAAAACTCCAGTGAACCATTAGTTCATTTTGCTCAAATAGAAATAGAGGTCTGCCTCTAATACTGGCCCTCCTTCCAATAAAGGCCTGGAGCTTGATGAGCTTGAGTCAAATACAGGCCCGGGCCTGTATTAGAGGATTTACGGTAAATTACATTACTTGAATGATCACTTTGTTGCATGTTTAACTAGCTCTATAGACCCTTTTACTACCTACGTCATCAAAAGTTGCGCGTGCAGCCTGGCAACGAGAGTGAAGGCTTCCTCATTCATACTCGATACTAAAACAGCGTTTTAAACCCTTTGTTTTGAAGTTCTGAGCACATAAAAATGTCGGGTTGTTGCGTGTATGGATGCCAGAATCGCTTCTCTTCAAGCAGTGGACTGAAACTTTACAGAATTCCGAAGGGAGCACATCCATTTCAACAAAATTGGAGGCGTCTGTGGCTGCAGGCCATCAAAAGGGTTGATGAAAACTGGACTGAAAACACGATCCGAAATGCTCGAGTTTGTAGCGCCCATTTTATATCAGGTAAGGTAATTATGTACTAAGATTACACCAGAAAGCTGGTTAACGTGTGTTCTATTAAATAAAGTAAGTTGCGTTTGCTGGTTTGCTTTTAAGCAGTCTATTTATTTACATTTATTTACACTGCATATTAGTATAAACTGTATTTCTCTAAAATTAACACGATTGTACTCTGAGCACGCTAAAAAAAGAAACCTATGCTATACTCACCCTGCCATGGCTGTGAAGACGTAGTTCTCTGGTTTGTTTACTATGACCCAAGCCTCGTACATAGCAGTCTTGTGTCCTTGTCTTTGGTAGTTTCAGGCAACTCACGAGCTCAAAACAATAAGGCTCAGGTCCACTTGTCTCCTCCAAATAGACTTGGTTCCTTTCTTCTCGAGTGTCTGGGTAAGGAGGGGGAGAAACTTCCTCCACTTCTAATGACTGCTCAGAGTGAAGGGAGCCAGCATCGTCTCGTTACCCATCGTCTTCGTCACTGCTGCGGCTCCACCCTCTCGGTCCTCCAGGCAACGCCTACTAATGTTGCAGTTTTTAAAATTGATATGTGGGTGGGAAAGGACTCTGAGGCACACTTGACCCGCTCTTTATTTGTTGCAACTATTGTACAGCATTTCCAGAAGGAAAAAAGACACATACATTATGGTAGATCGAAAGCACAGCGTTTTAAAGGGGAGCGCACGATGGAGCGCTTTGTGTCTGTGTGTGTGTGTGTGTGTGTGTGTGTGTGTGTGTGTGCGTCTGTCTGTCTACGTGTGTGTGTGTGTCTGTGTGTGTGTGTGTGTGTGTGTGTGTGTGTGTGTGTGTGTGTGTGTGTGTGTGTGTGTGTGTGTGTGTGTGTATACACTCGTGCGCGCAGTGATGTTAATATTATTTTTAGCAACACAGGTGAAGCATTTTTGAGACAAGTTTGTCCCTCTCATTTGTACCTAAACAGTAGGATAATAACAGTTGAAAGACAAAGCACAGATATTTACGGTGCATAGCTTACCTCTTAGGTATTGGGCCTTTTCGAGTAAAAGAGCGAAGATTATACATGGGACCTGTGCTAGGAGGTTCTTGAGAGCCTGTGGCAACTGCTGCACCCCTTCTCCCACGTTGGAAAAGGGAAAATATCTCCTCTTCTGTGGTACGGTGTTCACTTCCACCTGTGCTACTCTGGCTCGTCGTGCAAGCACTGGCCAAAGTATTGATTAAGTCTTTATCTTTCGGTGTTGCTGCAACCAGATTCCTAGCGGACTCACTCATTGTTAAAATCTGAATCTAGCTCGCTGCTTGCACAGCTAAAAAAAAATCAAGATGGTGCTTCAATTTTTCAGTTTCAGTTTTAATCAATAAAGGTTTGTTCCAAATATTCAGACTTCAATCAAACTATTCAGACTTTCAGTCCATATATTCAAACTTCGGTCCATATATTCAGACTTTAAGGCCATATATTCAGACTTTCAGTCCATATATTCATACATTTCAGTCAATATATTCAGACTTCGGTCCATATATTCATACTTTCAGTCAATATATTCAAACTTCGGTTCATATATTCAGACTTCGGTCCATATATTCAGATTTCAGTTCTTATATTCAGACTTCGGTCCATATATTCAGACTTCGGTCCATATATTCAGACTTTCAGTCCATATATTCAAACTTCGGTCCATATATTCAGACTTTCAGTCAATATATTCAGACTTCAATGAAAATATTCAGACTTTCAGTCCATAAATTCAGACTTTCAGTCCATATATTCAAACGTTGGTCCATATATTCATACTTTCAGTTAATATATTCATACTTTCAGTCCATATATTCAGACTTCGGTCCATATATTCAGCCTTTCACTCAATATATTCAGACTTTGGTCCATATATTCATACTTTCAGTCAATATATTCAGACTTCGGTCCATATATTCATACTTTCAGTCCATATATTCATACTTTCAGTCAATATATTCAAACTTCGGTCCATATATTCAGACTTTCAGTCAATATATTCAGACTTCAATGAAAATATTCATACTTTCAGTCCATATATTCAAACTTCAGTCCATATATTCAGACTTTCAGTCAATATATTCATACTTTCAGTCCATATATTCAAACTTCAGTCCATATATTCAGACTTTCAGTCAATTTATTCAGACTTCGGTCCATATATTCATACTTTCAGTCAATATATTCAGACTTTGGTCCATATATTCAGACTTCGGTCCATATATTCAGACTTTCAGTCTATATATTCAGACTTCGGTCAATATATTCAGACTTCAGTCCATATATTCAGACTTTCAGTCCATATATTCAGACTTTAGTCCATATATTCAGACTTTGGTCCATATATTCATACTTTCAGTCAATATATTCAGACTTCGGTCCATATATTCATACTTTCAGTCAATATATTCAGACTTCAATGAAAATATTCATACTTTCAGTCCATATATTCATACTTTCAGTCCATATATTCAAACTTCCGTCCATATATTCAGACTTTCAGTCAATATATTCAGACTTCAATGAAAATATTCAGACTTTCAGTCCATATATTCATACTTTCAGTCCATATATTCAAACTTCAGTCCATATATTCAGACTTTCAGTCAATATATTCAGACTTCGGTCCATATATTCATACTTTCAGTCCATATATTCAGACTTCAGTCCATATATTCAGAATTCAGTCCATATATTCAGACTTTCAATCCAAATATTCAGACTTTCAGTCCATATATTCAGACTTCAGTCCATATATTCAGACTTCAGTCCATATATTCAGACTTCGGTCCATATATTCCTATATTCAGGCTTTCAGTCCATATATTCAGAGTTCGGTCCATATATTCAGAAGTATTCTGGTATAAATATATAATAATTTCCTGAATGGCATGCCATATTAATATATATATATATATATATATATATATATATATATATATATATATATATATATATATATATATATATATATATATATGATAATTTTCGCTGAAGATTTTAAAAACATTTTAGTCTTTTTCAAGATTAAAAGGTAGTAAATAAAAAAAATTATTAGTTGAAATTGTTATTTTTGTGTAAAGTATAAATAAAATAATATTAAGACAGATTTGGGGTGGTGATCTAAACAGTTCTGTTATAGGACATAGTGCAGACCTTCTGCTCTTCTCATTCTCACAGACACTGTTTGTCACATGTGCATTTACCAGCATTTTCTTGAAAAGCGGTTTTTTTACCCTCATAGTGTCTCCACTTCTCCGTTGTGTTTTCTCTCCATCTAGATCATGATCAGTGGCGGCTGGTGAAAAATATTTTTGGTGGGGCTGTGCTATTTTTTTTAAACAAACTTGTGCTTTCTGAGCTTTGTGCACAACTTCACTATTTCCTGAATTAAGCACAGCTATTTTATTTCCTGTCTTACATCATTGGACAAACTGATTAATCCAGGTGTGTCTGACTATTGGCACGCTGCCTTGCAGACCAAGGTTGAAAAATACTGCATTAAATTGCACATAAAATAACATGACCATAAATAGGCAATGCAAGAGGCAAGTAACAAAAACATTTTGTTTAATTTCAACATTTGAGTGAACACGAAAAATTATGAGCAGGTCACTGTTACAGTAATGGTAGTAAACAGTACTTAGACAAAATGCCAGAAATTTACACTGTTAAAATATTTCTGGAGTGTTGTGCTAAGGTCAACTTTATACAAAGATCAAGTGGATGCATTTGTGTGTGTGTGACACCTCATTTGTACAGAAATTTTGCCCTTCTGTCCTGATTGGCAAAGCTCTCGATTAGCTTTTTATTGAAGTCAGGAATGTTTGTGACAAGCTTTTTTTCCATGGAGAGCATGGCAAGAGCATTCAGCCGATCCTGTGACATGGTGTTCCTCAGGAAAGTCTTAATCCTCTTTAAAGTAGAGAAGCACCTCTCTGATTCGGCTGTGGTCATGGGTGTGGTGACAAGAATCTTCAAAAGAGTGACAGTCTCTGTGAACGTGCTTTGAAGATTGTTCTCCATGAAAAACTGGAAGAGAGTCAGTGCACCACTGCAAGCCCTGAACTCATGGTTCTCATAGATGAGGGATAGCTCTGTTCTGAGCTTAGCTTTGTTCAGCATGGGGTAGGCCTCTACAGTGGTTGCCAGTGCTGCATCTGGGAACTGCGCTGTGTGTTGCACAAACAAGTCACTTTGTAGCAGAGTGGCAGCAACGAGGTGCTTGGTAAAAGAGAATCGCTCTTTTGCATGGCTCAGGATGGTGTCACAAACCTGTCATATGATAAATAAAAAACAACAGATAAGTACATAGGAAACACTTTCATAGGAAATAATGTCATCAGTATCCTCTTACAAATGTCATATTTCCCAGTTTTTGGGACAATAAAACATTTCTGATTCTCAATTAGATGTTTTTACTTCAAAAGTAAAAACATCTAATTGAGAATCAGAAATGTTTTATTGTCCCAAAAACTGGGAAATTTGTTTGCTGCAGCAGATGTGTAGCAAGTAAAATGGAATCAGATTGATGTATGTACAAATTTACTTGAAATACACATTTACATGATTAAATATGTATAATAAGTATGTGTGTTGAAATTAGTTTTTACAGTTATTGCACATTAAACATGTACATGTTATTAAACAAATGTCCCGGTTTGTGGGACAACCAAGGATTTCTGATTCTGATTGTCTTGTTCACAGAAATGTAATGTACAGCTTACCTCTGCACCCAGCTGCTGTTGTTCTCCCTGGCCAAACGTCCTCAGTTTCTTTGTTGGCTGCTGCTGCATTGATGCGCTGCATTCCTCAGTCAGAGAATGAATGGAGTCCCTAATGAGACACAAGTTCCACATCCACATTACTGTTTGTGAAACTAACATACTGGAGAATTTCATCACAATAATATTAAATAAACAAGTATGTACCTGATCTTTTGCATGCTGTTGGTGAAGCTCTGGATGACCCCTGTGATGTAGACAGAGTCAATGTTCCTCTTCTGCAGCTGGTTGAACAGCATGTCCACATGTGGCATGATCTTGTGAAACAATGCCAGCAGAAAGCAGAAATCTTCTTCCTCCAGCATTCTCACAAAGCCTCCTGCCTCTCTCTCAGTGATTGGATCAAAGTCATCCGAGTCTCTGATCATCTGGAAACATCTGAGGAGGTCATCCTTGTGCTCATACACTGTGTTGACAGCACGACTGTGGAAGTTCCACCTGGTTGCTGAAGTTGCTGGAAGTCTGTGCGCCACCACTTGATCAAGCACAGCGGTTCGCTTGAATGACCGGGAGAAGAATGCAGCAAATCTACCAAGGTCTGAAAAGAAAGTTCTGATCCTGCAGATGTGTGAAGTTGCCTGTTGCATGATGAGGTTCAGCTGATGGGCATAGCAGTGGATGTAGTGTGCACTTGTGTACACATCATTCACCTTACACTGCACTCCACCTGTGGCTCCCCTCATCACTGCAGCCCCATCATAGGCCTGGGCAATTAGTTTTCCCTCTTTTCCAGCAGGGATGATCTTGCTCAGCCTCTCCAACAGTGCTGTGGAAATCGTGTCAGCGGTTGCATTCTGAAGAGGAATGAACTCAAGAAAACGCTCTTGAATGCTGTTCTGACTGTCGAGATACCGTAACACAAGCACCAACTGGCAGCGGGTGGAAATGTCTGTAGTCTCATCTGCCTGAATAGCAAGATAATTTGCATTGTTCACCTCTCCAAGAATGTGGGTTTTAATAACTGACAACATACAGTCCAACAGCTCGTTCTGCACGGTCTTTGAGGTGCCTTTAAAAACTGTTGCCGTCTTCAGATGATCCTCCAACACATCAAGTGAAGCAACCAGATCCACTAGGCCCCTGAAGACGCCCGGGTTTTCTGAGGATTCAGTCTCATCATGGCCACGCAAAGCCAGCTCAAATGCGCCACAAAATTTAACACAGTCAATTATCTTGGACAAAATGTGCCGCATCCGATCCACTTCTTCATTGTGTTTCCTCACTGCAAGCCTGTGCCCCTCATCGAGCTGCATGGCAATGTTAGCTCTGCCTAGCATGGCTAGCTTCACCGTGTTGTCCATGTGTGCCTGGGATGACTCGTGTTTCTTCACCTTCTCAGAAAAATGTTTCATGTCTGTAACTCCTGACTCAATCCATGCCTTATCTGTCCCAGCCGTTTTGAATAACAAAAACGGAAAGCAAAATAACGCATTAGCGTGATTGCATCCAGCTAGCCAAGCCTTCCTGGTGTACCAATTTCGGGAGAAGCCTCGTGTGTACAGTTTACCCATCTCCTTGTCCTGCTGGCTTATCTTTACGTCGGGCTGATCTGGTCCGAGCTCTTTGACATTACGTTTTTCCACCATAGTTCTCCTCTCGAACGGATACTGGAGAAGAGACCGAACTGAATTCAGTGGCTGCTGAGATCCGGTATCCATGCTGGTTGTAGGCTCATTGGCATCCATCATGTCTATTACATCTGCGTCATGACCAAAAACGTGCTGGAGTAGTCGAGACTCTCCGAGTCCTACCAAACACCAACAAAAGCCTTTGGCGGTAGCTCTATCACCCATCATGCTTCTGAAACAACGTCGACGCTGATTGGATACATTCCCATTCCTACCGTTTGATTTTCTTGTCAGCAATTGGCCGGCTGGTTCCGTGCTGTTTGGGCGATTGAAACACAGCCCACAGCCTTTCTGTCGCCTCCACCGCTCGGCAGAGAGCTTCTCACCAATATATATATGTATATATATATATATATATATATATATATATATATATATATATATATATATATATATATATATATGATTTGTTTTTGTTACAAAACACAATTAACTTAGAATATGTGATTATTGTTAATTTTATTTTTTTTTTAATAAAAATTAAAAACACTGGGGAAAACTGGGAGGGCGGCGCCCTATCGCCCTCTACTGGCCAGCCACCACTGATCATGATAGTAATGGCGTACACTGGTGCACTGAGCAAAAGGGAGCAAGAGTCTCATGATATATCATCCCTGTGTCACTGAAGGAAATTTAGATGAGCTACAGAGCTGCAAGTGTTAACGGGATGGTACTTCAAACTCCCGTTGACTTAGAGAAATGCAGGACGAGCCAAGGTGCCTAATGGCTGCAGACCCAGAGATTGCAGATTCACTCCTACATCATCTCTAGTAGAAGCATGAATCTGCAGCAGCAGCAGATGTAAACCGACGGTCTCCTAACCTAGTGAACTAGACCAAATTTTTGCCTTGTAAAATATATTTATTTAGTTTGGCTTGCCAGGCTAGCGGTCTCCAGGAAGACAGCAGTACCTTTCTCGTTGGCCCGGCTGAGAAGTCCACGTGCACATGCGCATATCTTCATTCACTTTCCTTACTCCCGGAAGAATGGCTCGGAGTGCAAATGGTTTCTTTGTTGCTAATCTGCTGGGAACATTTACAAGAAAGTTCTACATAAAGTAGCAAAGGATCCTCAAAGTGTTGCTATGTTTGTCGCTAGATGCGTTTTAGAAAAAAAAAGTCATTGGGGGCATCCAAAAATCATTAGGAACAGTGATAAAGTCGATGAGTTGTTAACAGTGGACGTGGGTACAAAAGGTCAATAAGCTAACCGAAAGAATGCAGACACAAAAGGGCACATGTCACCACCCGCTGTTGCAGAGTCAAACACCCTTCTTTCAGTAATTCAGTTTTCTAACATACATGTAAACTAGGCTAAAGGCTCATCCTGGATCAGGTATTACCTCGATTACTGCCATAACTTGACCTAGATGTGTATGTGTCCACACTGAGTTTATACCTTGTACAGCCACTATAAGTGAATGCAAAGCAAGTGATGATATATAAACATAATGTAGTAATTACACAGATGTGTAATTATAACTGTTGTAGATTAACAAAAAAAAAACATTGATTCAGTTTGGCAGTGCTTTGTTGATCCATTATTTTAACCTGACTATCAAAGCATCTTTTCACATCCATGCACTTAACTGTTCACAAAATCAAGCACATGCCAAGTGTTCTCTCGGGTGAAAACGACAACAGGTAGATTCTATATTTTAATGACTCATTGTGTTTTACATGAAATGACTGCAGTAAAAGGTCAGGAAAACAGATGTTTCTTCTTAAATATGAAGGTGTACATTTCCTACAACAGCTGCTTCATCTTGGCCTCATCTCAGTAATAAGACAGCAAAACTCCAACTAAGTCAGTGATTTTTAAGATTAGAAAATTTTTGATTTAGTGTTTTCTCATTAAAGTTGAGAAAACCAAACAGAACCAATGGGCATTCAGCTCTCATATATCTGTTTTAGTGACAAGGAGACAACTAGTCTATGTTGCTTAAACCAGGCCACACTAAACTTCCTTGTATTTATAGCTGCATTTCTTCTAACCATGAATCTTTCATCTGAGTTTCCTGTCTATTGACAGGTTGTATTTTTCCTCAGCTGAAAGTTGGATGTGTGCAGAAATCAAAACACAAGTAGAGAAAGGAGAAGGGCACACTGCAGTGAAAGGAAAATAAAAAAGCAAACATTCTTTTCTTCTCCTTTCTCTTTGATACTGTCACTCTGTTGGAAAACTCCCTATCATAGTGCTGGTGAAGCTGAGAAGTAGAGAAGCAAATCTAAGATGGAAAGAGAAACGAAACAAACTGACCCTCTTAAGTGAAAAATCTATCTAAATTACATCCAGCAGTTATTTTAAAGACTCTATTCTGATTCACATGATGACAGACAGATGGTCCAAGTAGGAAACCAGAAATGTCCTTAAACATTCTAAGAAGTCATACGTCTTTGATGTTGGCAGCGCGTTGCTTGTTGTCTGCTGCAAGTCTATTCTCCTGTGTTCCACATACGGCATTTATAACGTGTGAGGCTTGCTGGGGCGACGGTGGCACATGATTTAAGTGCTCGCCCCGTAATCAGAAGGTTGTTGGTTTCGAGCCCCGCTCAGTCTGTCGCTGTCGTTGTGTCCTTGGGCAAGACACTTAACCCACGTGGCCTGCTGGTGGTGGTCGGAGGGATCGGTGGCGCCAGTGCTCGGCACCCTCGCCTCTGTCACTGCGCCCCAGGGCAGCTGTGGCTACATCGTAGCTCATCCCCACCAGTGTGTGAGTCTGTGTGAATGACTGGTTGTGTTGGAAAGCTCCTTGGGGTGTTCCAGGACTTTAGAAGGCGCTACATCAAATACAGGCCATTTACCATTTTCTAATTATATGGGTGCTAAAACACGATAATGCTGTTGTGCATTGTTTTATATACTGGAAACTTAGTATATAAGTACATGAATACCTTTGTGCCACAGAGAACAAAAGCAACAATGTTTTTTTAGAATTCAAATAGACATATGCATGTTGATAGTAGATTGGGCATGAGTGTTTTTTTTCCTTGATTAGTATAAATTAGCTAAATAAATTGTGGGTCGTGGGGGCAGCAGCCTCAGCAGAGAAGCTCAGACTTCCTTCTCCCCAGCCACTGGGCCAGATCTTCCAGGGAAATCCCAAGGTGTTTCTTGGCCAGACAAGAAACATAGTCCCTCCAACATGTCCTGGGTCTTGCTTTAGGTCTCCTCCTGGTTGGACGTGTCCGGACAACCTCACCAGGGAGGCATCCGAAACATATGCCTGAGCTACCTCAACTGGCTACTGACAGGTCTACTCTGAGCCCCTCCCAGATGACAGAGCTTCTCAACTTATCTCTGAGGGAGAGCCCAAACATCCTGCCGAGAAAACTCATTTTGGCCCTAAAGCTCGTGACCATAGGTGAAGGTGAACGTAGATCGACAGGTAAATCGAGAGTTTCACCTTCACACTCAGCTCTCTCTGGTGTGAGGTTCTCTGCTCAATATCGTCAGAGAAGGAGAAACAGCCGGCTGCTACCACTTCAACTTTAGGACACGCTACTAGAGTGCCAAAAACAAAAGTCACGTACAATAAAAGACATTTGAACCTAGAAAACTAGTGTTTAGCGCTGTTTCGTTTACTGTTGAAATGCAGATGTCTGTTTCTGGCAGAAGCATCTCAGGGAAGACACCCGAGGGGAGGGGTGAGTGTTCCCTTATTGTGTTTGCATTCAAAACACAGCTTGTTCTGTAGATTCCCCATAACAACTTAAAGCAAATCATTTTCTGTTTTCTTTTCAGTTTTCTTTAATATTGACAAATATACTAAGATTTAAAATTATTTTTGGGGTACAAACTTAAAAAAAGATAATTTAGTATTTATTACAAGCAAAGTAATAATCAGTATTGAAACAAATTATTGAGAGTGCATTATTGGCTTGTTGGCCACTTTCAAGCAGTAGGACAGAAAAGAGGGAAACTCTTTAGTGTTGCTTCAAATTGACAATGTGTATGTTCCCTGGCGATAGGGGGCAGTACATACCTAAATCATTACAAGCATGCAGCATTTTTCTGATTGAGTAAGAATTTACCAACGGATGCCCATTAGGGTCAAAAATCCCTGGGAGTGCAACCTCCAGCAAAATGACAAGCACATCAGACTCCTTTTAATCACTGGCAGGAGGTGAAGAGGTAAATGTGTAAAACAAAGTTTATGATTGGCAAAAGTTTTGTAACCATTTGTTACAAATCAGTAAAGGTGTTTTGTCCTCACGGGAACGTTTTGCAAAAAATATATTTTTTTAAATGTATGTAGTTGCATTAAGTGCAGGCTAAAGGATAACATTCAAAGTAAATGTTTTGCATAATTCAATGAAATAGCACTTTATGTATTTACATATTAATGTCATATCCAAGCATGTTATCTCCAGCATAGATACTGCCCATATTTTTGCTGTAATATGTGATGCAATAATCCAGTGGCTTGGTGCACAGCATTCAGCTCGTGTTGACTCGGGAAAGACACCAATTGCATAAATTTGTTTAGATACCAGATGTTTTTCTGTCTGTTTTTTATGAAGGGAGTGTCATATTTATGAACTGCTGGAATCACTTGGAAGGAATGACAATCCACACAACTTTTATTAAAAAAACATGATTTGCATCCAGAGTCACAGTTGAACAGCACAAACATTTGGATAATCCTGAAAATGCAACGTGAACATTGAGGGTTAAGGTATATTACATGAAAACTGACCTCCACTAAAACTGATTTAAAAAAATGAATAACTTGTCTTTAATAGCAAGTTACTGATGTTGCATTTTTGCAAGTAATTTACCTGAAAATTATTTTAAGAGTGGCACACAGTTGCATCAAATTAGTCCTGAAAACTGAAATTACCCAAGTAAAATTCCTTTTGACTTTTGACCTTAACAAAAATCCTGTCACCTCTTATCTTCATGCAGCATATTAGTGATATGATTCTGATTCACCATGCTGATTGTCTTTAAAAGTGATCTCAAATGAACATGAACTTTTTAAAATGATTTATCCTTTCATCTTTTAATAGAGAAAAGCAAATGGCCTACAGGAGC